TCCCTACAATGAAGCAGATGCTTCCGGTGGGAGACAACTTGCAGTTGCACAGGGAAAGTCCTGAACTTGTACTGAATCTAAGGGACAAGAAAAGCGATGGGACTTAAAAGGCTGTTTAACTGTGCTTCAGAAATGGGTATGTAGGTATCTGGTTATCATGCTGGAAACCAAAAGTAACCTCTTTTTCCTCCAGGGGAATGCATAAGATAACTAGATAGCCCACACATTATCCACTTACCTTTTATCAGAGATGACGAGAAGGCCACCACAGAGAGAAATCTCTTAATAGATAAACATGGGTGAGTCAATTAGGCCAAGCTATAACCACAGAGAAATTCTTACTGAAACTGAAATTGCTGAATTCACAAGAAATTTGTATTTCTCTCAACTATATGAGATCTATGCAGTACTATTCCTCAACGAAAAGAGTAAAATAAAACAGAATAGACATAGTTTCAAGAAAATAGATCATGCATTTGAGCTAGGCAATATTCACAGTATTTCCACAGGCAACGACAGAGGAGACTTATTTTTGCAGACAAGGTTCATGTTTGTATGGGTTACTTATTTTCTCATTGTTTACTAAGTAAATAGTATGAATCAGCATGTTGAAAGTCATACAGGTTTTCTGATAAGTAGCCTCCGCTTAGAGGCTTTGATATAAAAATCACAGATCCCACTAGTTTCTACTTGCTGACACTGAGACTTCCTAGTGGTAGGCAAAATGGCTTTTCATTCTGTATTTCTTGTTTTCTTAGCTGGCCTGGCATTTTTCTCTGAAGCTGCACCACAGGTAAGTGTCTCAGGATTGAGGTCCTTCACACTGATGTAGTCTCAGTTTTGGTTTTTTTAATATGCTTTAATTAGTGTAAGTAAAAAATAGAATATTCCACTTTATTGCAATTATTTTGGTTTTACAGTGTGTACTGACTGTAGTCCTCTCCTACCACTCTTTTTCTGGTCCTTCGTTCTGCTTCTCTAGTGATTAGTGAGAGGGCTTTATGGTTAGAGAAGTAGCACTTGTCATTAGACTCAGGGACTACATGAAAAACCATGTAAGACAAGAAAGGAAAAAAATATATTCACTACACAAAAGCCTTGGGCCTGTTGAAAAGTAACTAATAGCCCTTAGAACACAATGAACAAGCTCCTGTTGTGAGATCCATGCTGGAGAAAAGCCTTCTCTAGTCCTCTCCCTTGCCGCTCTACCCACTACAGCCCTATCTCGTGCAAGCAAGAAGGGATCTCAGCACTCATTGATGCAAGCAAAGAACAGAGTCAAAGCTAGGATCTCACTTCCAGAGAGCCCATTTATTGCAGCAAAGCAAGCTAGACACACAGCCTGAAATTCTTCTAGAACAGGCTTGTCTCTCCCTCTCCCTTGCTACTCGTTCTTCCTCTCAAGCACTGATCTTTGGGAAAATGAGCGTCTGAGCAGCCTTTGTGAGGAAGCAGGCTTTCAATGAGCTCCCAGGGTGTAAAAGCCAGGCAAACAGGTGGTGGCACGAGAGCAACCCTTGGCAACACCTCAGAAGAAACACTAGCGAGGAACCTCTGTGTTCCAGAAAGGGAGCCTGAGGAGTCAGGGCATACAGACGGTTTAGAGACACGCTGATACGTTGGTCTGATATAGGGCAGGGCTCCTGGCTGATGGGATGTTCAGAACATCACAGGCTGTAAAAGGGGACATGAGAGAGGGGTCTTTGTTTTTACCATCTACATCACGATTCATTTTGCAATGATTAAATGGAGATCAAGGATTGCTATTTTAAGAACATCCCTGATTAGCACCTTTCACAAAGCTCTATTTTCTCACTTTTCATCTAATAGAATTAGGTAATGGAAGGTCAAAGCTCTGATTCAACTCTGCCTTTGAATAGCTAAAACATCCACTGCTTGTGATTAACATGTTGGCAGTGCAACTACGGCCATCCCATCTACAAAGGAAGGTTTTCCTCTCCTATCCCTGCTTAGCTGCCAGGGGCTGACAAATCTGATCCAACATGGTGCTAGGAACGAGTCCATATGTGATGCTTATCAAGGTTACAGCAGAAATAAGATAACTCCATGGCAACAAGACATCAGAGGCTCTCAAGTCCAGAAGCCTGTGCTTGAATTGCCGCTCCAAAATACAGAGGAAGACTTGCCAGATTTTTAAACATTCCTACCACCGTTGATGATTTAATTATTTCCTGTTGAGGTCACAATTTAGTGACAACTTCATGCTGGAGATGATGTGTAGCTAAGCCCTGCCAAAGAGAAAAGACAAATGTCTTCTCACACACAGCAGCAGTGCCTCCCCAGCGCACACGGCTACACTCCTCCCAACAGCTCCTGGCGTCTTCCTCCCTCCTTCCACCATATCCAGCCTCCAGAAAGCTTCAGGCTACATTTCTGCAGCACAGTGACCTTGTGGAGGAAAACACGGTATATTTTGTAGATCTTAAGAATAATATTCATTACTGCTTTATTATGCACCATTCCTTACCTTTCTTACAACATAAAAATCCTCTCCTCCTATCTGAAGGACTCTGCTGACTCAAAGCATCCTCTTTTTATAAAAATTCTGGATTCAGTCCGAGGAAGTCCAGCTCCAAATGTTCCAGTTAAGTTATATAAAGAAGCTGCAGATGGATCTTGGGAACTGTTAAATTCCAAGTAAGTCATACTAAAATAATGAGTGAAAGAAGGGAAAGCCAATGGGAAAAGGCCAAATAGTTGAAAAAACAGTTTCAAATTCTCTAACATGTTTTTTTTCACTCAGAGGAAAGATAACATACTATTGAATGAATTTGCTGCAGATTGTCTTTTAACTGTACTACAGTTTCAACTATCAAACTGGTTTTATAATGCTTTGTAATTACTGTGACCACAAGAAAGTATTTTAAATTATCGTTTAATTCAGTCATTGCTTCTCTTCAATTTCATTACAAAGGATTGTATTACTTTTTAGTACCTAGCAATGAACTGCTGCATTGTTACCAGAAGAATCAGGCAGATCCTTTTAGTTTGTTTGAAACTAAGACTCTGGTTGAGAATCCTACCTGTATTGGCTATTTTCCTTCTTCCTAAACGGGATTTTCATTTTATTCAACACCACATCTTTAAAAAGAAAACACAGAATTATTTTGAACATATACCACATCATATTTGATAGCCTTCTTTACTTCAAGAAAAAGGAATCAGCCAAAAGGAGAAAATTTGGGGATAAAGCTTTCTCACCTACTCCCCACCAGAGAAGCAATTACATCTAAAATAAGAAAAAGAATCTTCCAGACATTTAAACGTTGCCAGGTCTTTTAAAAAAAATATAATCGTAGAATGTTAAACGTAGATGACTTTTTCTGAAGTTGCCCTCAATTTTAGTATATACTAACACTTTAAAAACTCAAAAGCAATTTTTACTTAAAGTATAATCTGAAATGAAATTGAAAAAAATTTTAGGGGGTACACAGAATGAGCATTCTTTAGTCAAGAAGCAACATCCCACTTCTACACTTGTATCAAGACAGTTGCAAAGTCTGACGTGAGACCATTCCAGGTCCGTTAACAGTCCATCCTACCTAAAACAGTGAGATAGGGTTCATGCAGGCTAAAGCTGACATAGCGCAGGAGTTTCAATAGTGGGATTGCAGACTCAGATGCATTTCTAGAAAGTCCATGAGGAACCGTTTGGAAATGGCTCTTTGGTGTCATAGAGCAGTGGGCTGGCAGAAGCAACAGGGCTCTCATATGTGCCCTTGAAAAATATAGCTACAGTGAAGGCCACACATATTTGTACAAGGTGGGGGAAGAACAATCTATTCACGTTGTCCTACTTAAATTGCCTCCCACCCCTCAAGTGAGAAGATAGCTTCACACATATCCTGTCACTGGAAATGCGTGAAATTCTCCATTAATAGGGTGTTCAGTTTGCTTACCTTCAAATCTGAGCTTAGAGGCTTTATATAAAAGATTTTGAACCGCTGGATGTTGACTGAAGCCTTAAAAACATACTTAACATTTGAAACAAAGAACAAAGTAACCTTAAGATGAGGTACGCAAAAGTTGTGATAATACTAAATCGACCTCTCCAGCCTTGTTAATATCTAAATAATTGAATGTTAGAAAGAGATTTTGAAATAACTGTTCTCAGTTAAACATATGTTTGGTTTTAGCTGAGAAAGCTTATTAGAGAAATGAACAGCTATCTAACAATGAACAATCTACAAGAAAGAAAAAATAGAGACATTTGAATCGATAAAAAAAATCCAGTAACTGACTACAGAGCATCTTGTAAGATACAAATGGTATTCCATAACTTCATAGTTATAAGCTATATTGAAACACAAATCCTAAGTAACACACTGAACAATGACATAAAAAACATTCAATTCTTTATTTTTCTCTGCATGCAATTTGAATAAAATATTGTCAGAAAGAGATTTGGCAACTAAAACACAAAACAGTGGTTTGTGACTACTAAAATCGGGCACTAGCAGCACTGTTATTTGTGCATAACCTACCCATCAAAAACCTAGTATTATATAACTGATTTCACAGAAGTAGGTTTCAACCAAGAGACATGTTTGAGAGATAACATTCAATATTGGTTCTGGAGCCCTAAATTGGTTGGTATTCAAAAGTGTATAGTTTCAAGCCAGTACTATGGCCTTGGATAGCACTGATAGTATCTTCCAATCAAACAAAACCATCTGTTTGTTGAGGATGGAAAACACAACTGATCAATATAGACAACAGGGAATTCCATAAGGCTACGCTGTTGGCTGACCTACAGTCATTTCAACTAGCACATCTCAAATTTCAAATAGCCAACTGTAAAAAAATATTTGTACTGATAAAACAACTCAATATATTTGAATCAGAAAGAAAACTATGGAAAAATCAAGAGAATTGACCCTACTTACTTGCACAGTAAGTGAATCAGAGAGCTTCCACATTGCTTACAGCAGTGGTAAAGCTTTCCCTCTGAGTAGGTTCATTTAATTAACTCCAAGACTCTGCCAAGAGTCTACAAACAATAATGCCAGCTTTTGGCCCACCCCCAAAGCATGCAGAGTGGTGACATGGCAGGCAGCCATCTGCTGTGGCGATCGCGGAAGTAGCAAATGCCAAGATAAGTTCTGGAGCATCCATAATACAGATGGACATAAGCCATGCCAGATCAATACAAGTATTCATCACATTACTTAAGCTACACGACATCACTCAAGTTCAATTGACAAGAACTGCATTTTTCTTGGGCTTTTAACCAAAATATAAAAATTCTTCTGCTGTCACACAGACAAACCAATAACAACGGAGAGCTCCACGAGCTCACAACGAAAGAACAATTTGTAACAGGGCTATACAAGATTGAGCTTGACACGGCCTCTTATTGGAAGAGATTGGGCTTGAATCCCTTCCACCACCTTGCTGATGTGAGTATTCATTTCCTCCTGTACTTTAGTTGCAAAGAATAAAGATACTTTATATGTCTAGGCTTCAATTACTAATTGCACATTGAACTTTCTTTTCTCTTTAAAATATTTTTGCGTTAATACTTTAGATCCACAGTCTCAAAGCTTCGAAACAACATACTCATGAATGAACCTAGTTACTAGCTTCCCCGTAACTCTCACTAAGCTGTTAGATGTGTTACTTACAAAGAGGTTTTCCATCTTTCTACCTCTACTTAAACCTGTGCTTCTTTCTGTGAGTCTTCTAGACAGCCGAGGGAGAACAACAAGTGGAGCGCTCTGTTAAGTCTCCTGGGAACAGGATTTTTCTGCCTTTTGGATCCAGTATTTGTATGGCTGCAGACAGAGATTACAATTTAGATTTTTAAAGATAATGAAAGTATGAACTGGGTTCTGGACGCTTGGATCCTCCATTTACAACAGAAAAAAGTGTAACACGCCTTTTTAATTTGCAAGGGTTAGATGAAGGTTAAACTGGTTAGATGAAGTTGGTCAAACCAGGTACCAACTGAGGCCAGCTGCAGGGACTGGGAGGGCTTGGGGGCTGTCCCTGTCCCCTCCACAGCATCAGCCCTTTCGTCGGACCTTTCAGTAGCGGCAGCACTCCTGTATTAGCTGTTTGCTGGACTGTGACAGATCAGTGAGCACCACCAGCTGTAGAGTTTGCAACTGCTGCTCAAACAGCCATCCCTCATCTCCTTGAAGAAAAGGTGGCAAATTTAACCTGGATTGAATTTTGTTTCTGCCTCCCTGAAATGGAGGAGAGATGACCTTATTCTAGATGGTAATAAAGGTTAATGCTGGATAGCCTTGCCTTCTGTGATAACTGAAAAAGACGTAAGATGAAGGATTTACAGCACGCAAGTAAATGGATTATATATTAAGATAATTTTTAAGTCTATATTTCAGACTAGAAATTAATTTAATGCAGAATGCAAGAGTCTCCTTTCTTAAAAATAAGCCTCAGTACAGATCACGTTTTGCTCAATTCACTGGTTGTTTCATATGCATCTTTTTTATTAATGTTGAAAGGAGTACAATCTATGCATCACAGAATGTTATTAAACTGTCTATTTTAAAAAATAAAGTTGAAAATCATTGCTTCAGAACATAGAATAATCTACTGCATAGAGGGAAAAAATCAAAGGACAGGACATGAGCTGATGGGGGAAGATGTTAAAAGGGCTGTTGTAAATCATTCATATGTAAGGTTATTACCGCGTTGTGGCCAAAGGACTACTGCAGTCCTTCTCTATCTACTAGATATGTAAGTAGGAATAAAGAAACTCATTGCTTCCTGTTTTGGCCTTATGATAGTTACTGTAGCACTATGTTTAATTCTCTTCCTCAAAGTTCAGGACTTTGTAAGAGCAACAAAAGTATTCAAACACTTGGAAGAATACCTTTTTTTTTTTTTTTTTTAAAATAAAGACAGTCAATGGGATTCAATGTAGATCTTCAATAAGGAAAAAAAATCTTGTTGCCATTTATGAGTATCAACAAAGAAATCCCAACTTGGATAACATACTATTTTAAATTTTATCAAATATATTTAAGTGGTATGTATGCTTTTAACAAAGGATGTTTAATCAGTAGAAAAGCTGTGTGTGACAGGCACAGATCACAGTGATCAAATCACCACAAAAAAAAAAAAAAAAAAAAAAGATAATTTCCCAAGTTTTGTGAGAGGTTAAATGGAACCATTGCAATCATTTTACCTAGGCTCGTATCCAGAGATCCCTTCTCATTTGTCTTGTATTTGGTTTTTTTTTTTCTTTTTCCAGGTGGTGTTCACAGCTAATGATGCTGGTTATCGACATTACTCCATTGCTATTCTCCTCAGTCCCTTTTCTTACTCAACTACAGCAGTAGTCAGTGAGCCACTGGAATAGAAGCTGACATTAAGCATGAAAACTAAAATTTCCATAAATGATAAGAACTTAGTTTCCGATTGTATCAACAGCTTTAGATTTCATAGTACATCACTAACAGTAACAGTCGTTTATGCACTTTTTTAACTTTAGGAAGAATGTGTATTAACTTTGTTTTCGAATACTCTTCTGAATCAAGGTATTCTGTATTTCTGTATTCTGTAAGTACTGCTCTTCTGAATAAAAGTTTAGGGTTTGAAAAAACACATTAAGCTTGGAAAAAAAAAAATGCATTGGAACTCCCATTACTGGGATTCTGAGAAGGAACCAAAGTCTTCCAGGAAGCTAGTAAACTACATCCCTTCTTGCAAAGGAAGCAAATAAAACACACCAGAAAGATGTCTCACAAAAAGTAAACACATGGGAAATGCAACCCACCACCTACCATCATCTATACTTTATTACTGAAGCCCACAATAGATGAAGTCACATAGGACTACTATCCAGGGCCCCACATAACCATCGGATAAAAATCAGAATTGGGAGGTGAGTTTAAGATATAGAAGCAAAAGCAGCTTAAAAGTGAGAGCAAAGTAGAATACCATTTAAGGATGCTACACATATTTAAAATGCCTTCTTTCCTGCTTTCCAATATAACTGGTGACACTTTCAAGGCGAGTCTGTACCCAGTGTTGCAGAAAAGTATATCCATCAAACATACTTGAAGTTTGTTCGTGTATTTTCACTAAATTCGGCAAATACCTTTGTCCTCAGTTGAAGTACTCCTCAAAATTACTTCCCTACCTCTAAGCATCAGACACTTTTGTATCAGTTGTAAAATATAAAGAAAAATAAGGATAACTAATGATTCCTGAGAAAACCAGCTCCCTATTTAATGCCAGGAGAAATATGGATGAATCTTTCTATTTCCCATTCTTGTAATCCATATATAACGAAGATTACTCCTAAACAGAAATAAGCATACAGAAGACCCATTAGGAGATTCAACAGAATAGCAACCCTATCTTGGAAAAGTACACAAAAATGCTGAGTCATTTAGCCTAATAAAACCAAAAGCTGAAAGCATCTAAATACCAATAAAAGGAAGATGATTTGTTAGCCTAAAGCTTGATCCCATCACAGCCTAACCTGACGTATTTGCTGGCCAGGTGTCCTCTCCTTTTGTTGTTACTTTGAGAACTGAGCACTAGGAAAATGAGCACTTGGTCTATAAACAAAACACAAAGAAGATATGCTGTCCACAGAGCCTCAGAATAAACAAGCCAACACAATCTTTAGAACATTATATTTCATAAAAGACAATGATAAAAAAGTACAAACATTTTCATGAACAACAAAAAAAATCAAAACTATGATAGTACACAGGAAATTCCCAGCATTTGTTTCAGTGCATTTGTCATTAAGCCTATCTTACATACCTCCACAAATAAAATAATCTTAAGTACACTTCCTCTTGCTGATACACAATGGATCCTTTTAATATTTTTAAAGAACTGGCTCATTAGTAACCCACTACAAGATAGTCATTAGTAAACATAATGATAGAAAAATAGACTGGCAAGATCCAAGAAAAAGGACATTTTGCAGTTGCTTTTCAATAAATTGTCTATTGCAGAAAGGATTTTATATTTTATAGTCTCCTACTTAGATGTGAAATACAGCAAATGGGCTTAAGAGTATCTCAGCATATCAACCAGATTCCACCACTAATACATCTGTAATGTTTTTACTTGTTAATTTGCAAGACCTTCAGAATATTGTAAAATAGTCCCTTTTTCTTCTCCCTCCGTGTTCACTCCTTGCAGAGAAGACGTTCTTAATTTGCCTTGTCAGCAATGCAAAAGCCAATGTGATTCGCTTCCCTCTGCATTTTACAAGAATCATGTAAATAGCAAAAGGAATGTGCACAACTCGGTTCTGCATCGCATTTATTTTGTTTGAAGGCACTGTCTATATTAAAATTCACTACAGAATAGTACTGAGTTCAACCAGGTAGTATACAAACACTATTTTGATGTAATTTAAGATGGCAACTTTTAAAACTTCCCAACAAAGTGATAAAAGATATTTAGAGAAGAGTGTTGGTCAACAATTCATAATTTAACATCCATCACTTTGGGGCACCAAAATGTAAACTTTTTTAGAACTCAGCTATATATAATTATTCATTCACATACTGGTTTATATCACATTTTTCTAAGACCATACATGATTAATCACTTAGAGCTGTAAAGTTACATTAATTCAAGCACAGCATATGTGTAATATGGTATGTATATATGTATCTATATATACATATATATGCATTAGAATTTTTTTAAATTGCACATTAATTTCACAAAATGCATAACAAATGGGCACAAAAGCATGCTTCAGAAAACAGTATAGACCTACAGTATCAAAGGATGTTTCATAATCATAGGTGTTAAATTGTAGGCGAACTTGTACTGAAATCCAGAAATCACTTCAAAATTACATTAGGGATTTAAAAATTTATTCAACAGTTCTTAAGAATTGTATTACTCTTATGAAATAAGACTAATTTTATTTTGAAGATATAATTGTTCATACAGTGTATTAATTATCTCCTCTTTATCCATATGCTTTGGAATATTCTATACACTTAGTTATAGAAAAATATATCAGGAGGTGATCAAACTACTTAAGCATGCTTTTGAAGGAAGTTTTGTTCACTTTATGCTCACTTTTTGTTATTTTCATTGCATTACGTCATTCCTAAAGCATATTAGATTAACTGGCAGATTTTAAGGTAATTCCAATATGATTTAAAATACCCATTACAATTGTTCTCCACTACTTAAATTAAATCATTACATTTCTACTAAATATTTGGGATGCCTGCAACTAAGCTTAGAACTTTAGTGAAGAATGGCTAAGGCCAAAATTTGCTGCTGGGATGTCAAAGAAGTAAAAGGTGTTTATGGCAAACAAACTCAAATATACAAAGCACCACACCATATGTGGCAGCAATTCAGGAAACTAACACGTAGTAATGAGTTAAAGTTAGTATTCTTTGTCAATACTCTTACAGAACACTCTATGGATAAACAATCCTTATTATATACTGCTTTCCATTCTTCATGGGAGCAGAAGTCAGTCTTTGGTTCCTAAAGAGTTGAGTAACTGTGACAAACAGAACAGTTCAGTAGATCCTGGTCAATATCTTTGCATTAACATAGAAAATAAATGATCCAGTCCTTTTCCTTAGTATTAACAAGGGATGTAAAAAAATATTAGGAAGAGATAATAATGCTTAGCAGTGGGATACTTTTAGGTAGCATAACATTACAAGCAGACAGAAAATAAGAAGATATGTTTTTCATTATAAGCCAAGGAAAGAGGCTACTTACTCATACATCTAACACCACAAAAATAGAGAGAGACAGGACCAATCCTTAGTGGGACTGCGCAACCTCAGTCTCATTGAAAGTCATCGACTTGAGGATACTTAGTGCGTTGTAGAAGCACTCAGCACTCTACCAGAATAGGCCCTTAAACAACTATATTGATTAATATATTACGAGTGGAATTCTAAAAAGCACTTGGGATTGGCCTGCTTTCAGTTCCGCTTATGCCATCATCAGCGGAACAGTTTGACCAACACCATGGTTCTGAAAATCCCACACTGCAAGCATTAGAACTATTAGAGCTATGTTTTATTATTTTCTTAAAAATCTAACTTTTATATTCTTCCAATGAAGACACATTTTTGGCTCTTCTGATTTTGGAGGAATAAAAGTGCTGTTTACTAGGATTTTTTTTTAAAAAAAGAATAATACCAAAATACTGTACGCACCCAGACACATTGTTTTAGGCATTAAAATCCCTGACATTGACACTAGTGGCACACTTGGAAACAGTTAAGAGTTCCTGTAGATCATAATACGCAACAACTGCAAGATTTTCCATAATACACATGCAATATGCATATAAATAGGATTTAGATGGCAAGCAGGGTATCATACAATTTTGCTGGCAATAAATAAAATTAAAAGCTTTCTTTCTAGCAAGTTCATATACGAAATTGATTGTTCTATATAGATATGCAGGAGGCCTAGAGCTCAAAACTAGTATAACAGTTTACAGTCATAGCTGGCCAACAATTAGTATTTCCTTCATTTCACATAAGGTATAACCTTTTTTTAAGCATACTTACATTTTACACTTGTTCTTTCATGCTAATAAAAACATTCCTGTAGAATTCAAACAAGGACACACTCAAATACATACTGAAACATAAAATATTGAGCAATTTAAAAGCAATGTACACACATTAATTTACATCACATATTTACAAAACACATTTTAAAAAGAAACAAAAGCATTCATTTAAATATGGGGGAGGCTATGGTTTAGTATAAAAAAAAATTCCTGGAAGAAGAAGCCTCTGTCCCTACTTCCAGAGAAGATACAAGTCTGTTTTCTGCAGTTTATTTAGTTGAGTGGTTAAGATAGAGAATATGAAGAATGAAGGCTCGCACAGTAGTCTCATGCTGTAAACATCTGAGTGGTAGCTGCTGGCTTTTCTTTCAGAACAAAATGCATGGTACATACAATCACGTCACTTCTCATCCCAAATATGCATCATCAAATGGTCAAAAACTTCTAATTCTAAGCTGCTGTTTGTTGGTTTTGTTTTGTTTTACAGTGTCAATTAGTAGCTTCCAGTGTTAAAAGTTTATTCTGGTAGGGTAGCTTGTCATTTTACTTCCATCAATAGTCTCTGACAGGAGCAAGTTCTGGTATAAGATTAACAGTTATATTTTTATACAATTTACTGACAAATATTTTAGGAGTATATATTAAATTGTTCAACCCATCAATATACTGACGTTCTCTGGAATACCTCAGAAGTTTATATCTGCAGAGGGAATTGGAAGAAGAAAACATGAGAAAGATTTGCAAGAAACAATTCAATTGATGTTAGACATCTGTAACTGTAAGTGTAATTTCATTTTGAAATACGCTTTAAATACTGA